TTTCTGTGAGAGGAAAAGCCTCACACTTATTAGTGTAAACTAATTAAGAACCAAATGCTCTGCTGGGCTGTCCGGCTGCTCTGGTGACGTCTCCTGTCCCACCCTGCTCCCCATGCCTGGCTCCTCAGTTACTCACAGCCTTCTTTGTTCTGTCATCCTTGCCTCCCCCAGGCACTCAAGAGCAAAGAATAAGTAGGCCACGTTGATAACTTTCTTTACAAAGGGTACAGAATTTCTGCTCTATTCATCTCCACTTTCCAAACACCTTTGGCTTGAGCTTATCTCATTTTTGCAGTTTTAGGACCCAACGAAAACCACCCATGACAGAGCAGGCAGGATCTCACCACTTGATAAGGTGCCTCCCTGTGCCTCCAGCTGGGGCAAGGGCGAGAAATGCAGTTTCTCTCATTCAAGGAACAAGAGCACCCAGGAAATGGAGTCCCAGCTTTCTTCCCCATTTTCAGAGTGCTGTGGAGATCCCCAACAAAGCCAGCTAGGCAAGAATTTCTCTAGAACTTTGAGTTCTTTTCTACACCAAACATTTACAATTTAAAATTGTTATGTAGAAGGGCTGGCTCTGGGCCTCACTTCTAGCTCTACCCGGGCCCTTCTCTGAGCACCCACAGAGCACCATCACCCAGGAGAGGCTAAATGCCCAGGCAAACAGATCTGCCCACCTCACAGGCCCAGAGCATGTAACACCTTCTTCTGGGTGGTGAGACCCTGGGGCAGGCAGAAGCTTGCTCTAAACTACAGTGCTAATCACCCAAGTACTTCAGCTGCCCACCCAGGGCCTGGCATCCACACTCGTCTCTGGCGAGCCAGTCTGAACAGAGGCCTTCACTCGCGTGGGCATGGAGCACTAGCAGCAAGCATGGGACATTAGAAATGAGAAGGCTGAGCTAGTAAAATGAATCACCATAAGGGCATCACTGTTTGCCAGGCATTTTCTACATAAATGTATCTGGTTCTACCCTTCATTCTGCCAAGAGCTGGGCTCTACTGGCCTCTGACTCAGCTCTTTTCACTGGCTTCAGTTGTGAACTTGCTGCTGTCCAATATTTTGCAGATTCCACACAATAAATTGTTTGGGCTTGGCTTTGCATCTGTGCTCTTTCTCCTTACCCTGAGATGGGAGGTCACTATGTCCTGTCAGCTTGAAGGACTTCTGGAGGAGGGGTGCAGGGGTGAGCCTAGCACAGGTGGTACAGGCAGCTGCCCACACCAGTGCTATGTGCTTTCAAGCCTGTTGGCTGATCCATTCTCCCCTCCGGCCGCAGAGGTCCCAGTGCCCTTGGGAATTAACAGGAAAAGGCAGGGTCATGAATTAGACAGCAACTGGGAACCATAGATGCCAGGGGCCTCACAATGAACCCTACACTGCCTGCCCTGTTATCCTTCTGCCTTATATTCTCTTACTCTCCCTTCATGTCACTCCTCATTTTTTCTGGAATGTGCCAGGCCCACTCCTGCCCCAGGGCCTTTGCACCACTTTGCACCCAGATAGCACCACGCTGCCTTCCCAGTTCCTGCATAGCTCTGTGTTCTAGTGTCATTTCCTCACTGGGCTGTCCTCAGCTACCTTCTCTACAACTGCAAGCCCCCATCATTCCTCATCCCCATCCCCTGCATTTTCCTTGATGCCTCCCTACCTATCTTACCTGTCTCATTGTTGGGTTTTCTGCCTCAGCATTTTTATCTGTTTGCTCACTACCTTATCACCAGCATGGTAACAGTGCCTGACGCATAGCATGTGCTCAGTGATATTTGTTAAATGCGTGGGTGAGGCTGTGAGCTGATGAGGTTCTCACTGCTGTTCTTAGATAGCAGCCATGTGGTTTGGGCCAGCCCTGCTCACTTCTGGGCCTGACTCAGTTCATCTCTAATGAGGAGGGCACATGAGCTGCTGTGTAAGCTGCCTTCCAGCAGTAATTATTGATGAGTCTGGGCAATATCCACTTACCACCCCAGAGAAGCCCAAACGGAAGGCAACAAGGGAAGAGAGGCAGGAAGCAGCTGCCAGGATGACTAATTGGGATCTCGAGCCATCAGCCCCAAATGTCAATCCTCACAGGCCTCAGCAAAGCTCAGGATTATTAGCTCTCAAAACTCACATGGTCTCCTGGCAAGGCCTGGCCTGGCCTCGCCCTAAATGATCATGAAGTGCACTTGAAAAAGTAACTCCAAAAAAGAGAGAGAGAGAGAGAGGAGTGAGTGAGGGAGGAAGGGAGAAAGGAAAGAAAGAAGGAAGGAAGGAAGGAAGGAAGGAAGGAAGGAAGGAAGGAAGGAA